TGATTAAAATATAATATATTGCATTTGCAATATATTGCATATTGCAGACATTTATTAATATTTCAATGTTATCTCCTTTTACAACTGCAAATTTTTTGACTATTTTCAGACTATTATTAATAATACATTTAGTTATTTGTGTATATCTTATCATATCTTCTCATATTGCAGTCATATCATATCATATTGCATATCATTTTCTATGACCATAAATAAAAATAATTGCTCAGAATGAGAGTTCACATATAAAAATTTCCATCTTAATCACTGTCTGTCTTGTGCTTTGTTCTAAATCTTTCTTGCAGTGTTTCCATGTGCCTTATTCCGCCCTGACCATGTTCTTGAGCACCGACCAGCGGGAGAGAGACTCTGCTACAGCTTACCGTAAGCTTACAGCTGCACACACAACAGTGTTCATCTTTAAAGCCGTGTTTGCATTGCTCTAGAAGATTAACAACGTCTGATTTCATTGTGCTCCATTAATCCAAAAACAAATGCGTGCCAAGTGCTTATGTTGAGAGCTGTGCATGTTTGGAAATGCTTTCAAATGCAAATAACAGGTGTTGTGCGTGCGTATGTGCAGGTATGACGGTGGAGGTGCTCGGGACGCTGGTGGGTGCCGCCATTCAGGGTCAGATCGTAGCGAGCGCACACACTCTGAAGCACTGTCTGCATCGAAACCTGACCACTGGTCACCTGGGAAACAGCAGTGGCACAGAGATCATCAGATCCCTGGCGCTGTCACAGGACTTCCTGTCTCATGCTGTACGTGTCACAGTTACACTTTTACTCTAAAATTGACCTCGAAGTGCATTAGTGAACCACAGCTCTTAATGCAGTCCCTTTGGGTCTAAATGTATGTAATTCTATTTTGATGCATTTTATGCAACACTACGTATATATTTTCTTGTTTTTATTCAGCAAGGACTCATTAAATTGATCAAAAGTGACTATAAAGGCTTCTATAATGTTACAAAAAGATAAATGCTACCCCCAGGGCATCCAAGATGTTGGTGACTTTGTTTCTTCAGTAGAACACATATGATGATTTTTAACTCCAGTCGTTGCAGTCTATCAGTCGTATAATGCATGGCAAGATAACAAAAATCTATGAGAGAAAAAAAAACATGCACAGACAAATCCAAATTAAACCCTGCGGCTCGTGACGACACATTGATGTCCTAAGACACGAAACGATCGGTTTGTGCGAGAAACCGAACAGTATTTATATAATATTTTAACTCTAATACACCACTATGTCCAACTGCTTTGAGCGTGCGCATCCGGTGCGTGAGGTGTGTACGCGCTCTGGCGTAGTTTACGTTAATGGGTGTATTGATATCCAGCCGAAGAGCAATCAACCATAACTTCAGGCGATAAATGCTGTTCTTTTAAACTTTCTTAATTATCAAAGAATGTTGGCAAAAAAAGTATCATGGTTTCCTCAAAAATATTAAAGGGCATAACTGTGTTTAACAATATAACATAATAAACAGAAATGTTTCTTGCAAATCAGCATATTAGCATGATTTCTGAAGGATCATGTGACACTAAAGACAGGAGGAAAATACAGCATTGCGTCACAGGAATAAATTACACTTTAAAATATATTCAAATAGAAAATAGTTATTTTAAATAGTAATAATATTTCACAAATGTACTGTTTTTACTGTATTTTTGATCGGAGAAATGCAGCCTTGGTCCACATGAGAGACTAATTTCAAAAACAATAAAAAATCGTATCGACCTCAAACTTATGAACGATAAATTGTGATCAATAAGATTTTGTAACAATTTTTGTAGATAGATAGATAGATAGAAACTTTATTATTTTTCACAATTTGTTTGTGTTTCTAGATTCTAGTTATAAAGAGAACTGTTTTGCCTCTGTGCTAAATAATTTTTCTTTCTTTCTTTTTTTAAATGGCTTTTTCCTGAAAACATCCAGTATCATTTAACCATAAACCCTCCAAAACCTAATTAAGTTTGGACTTTGAAGTGTGACTTTCAGGGGAACAATTTATATTCATCAGAATCCACAGAATCAATAAATAAATGTAACTATTTATATAATGACTGAATAACTCTATTTCGAGCCGAGAGCCACTGAGCTCAATGTCAATCAAATTCGACATGCGAGCGAGCCGACAAGCTTGGCTTGTGGATGTGGCTGAGGGTTCCATAGTGGAAACCCATGATGGAGCACCATGAAGGGCCACAGCTATTTGGAGCTGGACTGCCGAGCGTCTCTCTGGTTAAGGCTCTCAGAGGCGGCTGGGCCGAATCCACCACGCTCTGAGTGATTGAGCATTCCTCTGCGGGATGGTTGGGTGCGCCAACCGACTCCTCTGGAGCGGCACTTTTGATCTGGAACAATAATGAAGTGTTCGCCGCGGTCTGTGAAAAAAATAGCAAACAATCCTGAGGTTGTTTAGGGCAGAGCAGTTCCTGTTTGGGGATATTAGATTGAAAAGTTCCTCTTTCCTGGGGTTGCACCTAATTTGGGCTTGCCAAACTTTACAAGACCATACAGTACGGTGCCTGAAGCAGCAAATACACTCAAATAAATATGATCATTCATAACATGACAACCATGTATTAGTGAACCACAGCTCTTAATGCAGTCCCTTTGGGTCTAAATTTATGTAATTCTATTTTGATGCATTTTATGCAACACTACGTATATATTTTCATATTTTTATTCAGCAAGGACTCATTAAATTGATCAAAAGTGACTATAAAGGCTTCTATAATGTTACAAAAAGATAAATGCTGTTCTTTTAAACTTTCTTAATTATCAAAGAATGTTGGCAAAAAAAAGTATAATGGTTTCCTCAAAAATATTAAAGTGCATAACTGTGTTTAACATTATAACATAATAAACAGAAATGTTTCTTGCAAATCAGCATATTAGCATGATTTCTGAAGGATCATGTGACACTAAAGACAGGAGGAAAATACAGCATTGCGTCACAGGAATAAATTACACTTTAAAATATATTCAAATAGAAAATAGTTATTTTAAATAAACTGGAATAGAACTACAACCAGTTTTCCATCACCGCTCATGGTCTGTTTCTCTTTACAGAAGGAAGTGTACATGATAGCTGCCGGAGTGATCGGTGGGCTGTTTCTGGTTTGTACGGTGGTCATGTTCCTGGGAGTCAAAGAGAGAGATGGTGAGCGTGTGTGGTAATCATGTGGCATAAATTTGGGTTTTGCAACTGCATCCGAATGGAAAAGTATGATTAATTCACCCCAAAAAGTTACATTTTCATGACTCTTTTCCAACAAAAAAAACGAGAATGTTCTCTTAAAGAGACAGTGGCAAGGAAATGAACACAAAGACCATGTTGCCATATGGCCACACCATGCGGTAGAGGGTTAATTCACCCCAAAAAGTTACATTTTCATGACTCGCTTCTGTAGAATACAAAAGGAGATAGTCGGCAGAAAGTGCATGCTGCTCTTTTCATCCATATGACTTGTGAGCTATATATCCTATTTTTTTTCTAAAGATACACTACTGTTCATAACTTTGGGGTCTGTAAGATCTGTTTTTAAAGAAGTCTCTTATGCTCACCAAGACTGCATTTATTTAATCAAATAGACTGTAAAAACAGTAATATGGTGTAATATTATACTATTTAAAACAACTGGCTCCTATGTCATGTTCTTAGTGATGCTAAGCTGAATTTCCAATCTTCAGTGACACATGATCCTTCAGAAATCATTCTAATATGATGATTTCATGCTCAAGAGACATTTCTTATTATCAGCAATGTTGAAAACAGTTGTGCTGCTTGATATTTTTGTGAAAAAAATTTTTTTTTCAGGATTTTTAACAAATACAAATTTAAAACCGCATTTATTTAAAATAGAAATAGTTTGTATAAATGTAAAAGTCTTTACTGTCATTTATCATCAATTTAGTATCTCCTTGTTGAATAAAAGTATACATTTTACTGACTCCAAACTTTTAAATGGTAGTGTATATAATTTGGGAACAAACCAAAACAGGTCAAAATCCATTCACAAATGTGGTGTGCGTACCAGGTTTGAATACACGTAGATTTCCTATAAAGAAATATAAATTATATAAGCGAATATTGACTTTGTGCCTGACACGGAGCTGTTGTATGGCTTCAGAAGACTTGTCACTCTACACCGCAGAAAACATGTTTAACATTTGGGCTTTCTCCACTTTTTGTGTCTGCGTTAGATCCCTATGCTCCTAAAACGGACAAGGCCATTCCTTTCCATAAGGGCTTTATTTTGGTCATGAAGCATGGGTCCTACCTGACTCTGACTGCGGCTTTCCTGTTCATATCCGTGGCCATCCAGGTAACATGTTTTCCTTTTAGTTATGTCATTCTAGAATGTGTTCAGTTGGTTGTTGTGTGAAGCAAACTATGTAACTGAATACCGTATTGACCCGAATATAAGACGATGTTTTTTTCTTGGAAATACATCTGAAAAAACGCGGTCGTCTTATATTCAGGGTCTAGACTTTGACATGTCAATAATACACCCACAACAATAGGTGGCGAGTGTGCCATGAAATACGTAATGT